TTTTCCGGCGAGTTTTCCGGTAACTTTTCCGGCAACTCTCTTTTTATCTAAATTTCATTCTCTACGCATTATTTTCGTTTAATTTTGCTATAGGAAAATAGGTACCTAGCTTAGGGCTTATTATTTCGATTTGTGATTTGATTGGAATGATGTGTTTAGAATCGTTTTTAGACTTTGTCTTATTTTCATTGCTTGTTTACGTGTGTTAGGATTCGATACGTGCTTATCTAGTATAGAGGTCCCGACTTTCTCGAAGCGGGATGATCTAGTGTAGAAGGCTCGTGTTCGGATACCTAGGATCACTAGGCTCGCATGTTTTCTTTTTGTTGTTTTTATTTTCGTCAAGTGTGGAGACTCCGTGCAACCAAAGTTCGACATTTCTTTCGATTCTTGCTTTTTCATTAATTGCTTTTAAATTATTAGAATAATTTAGTGTAATCAACCCACAATCAAGCGAGTAGAATGTTTAGGACCTTATTTTCGGTTGTGTGAATTGACGACTAGATAGTGAACGAAGCTCCGAAGAGCCTTCCTTTGAGAACGAAGCTTCCGCTCCCTCCTCTTCGAAATCATCCTCCCGAGTACTATCACATCGGTTATACACAATCGAATCCTCCAATAAATCATCTCCCATGCCATTCACCATATCAACTTCTGAATCCATACACTCATCCTCAACAATAGAATTTAAGCCCAAAGCACTATCACCGAAAGAGAGAGTTGACGTACCTAATATAGATTGCGAGCCCGGATCGGCAAGGGAGGAAATTTCTTTAACAATCAACTCATCGATGTCCTCACTCGTGTGAAGAGGTTGAGTCCTGTCATAAACGAGAGTGAGGCCCATCTCTTTCAAAGAGGCAAACCTATCCACCATAGCTCGAAATTCTTCCTCTAACCGTGTACTCTCTCGAATAACTCTCGCCGATAGAGAACAATATCTACCGAATGGAATGTGAGATTCGTCCATGTCGAGAAAGGCTACCACGGTCGAGTCGAAAACTCAAAATAAATAAATCCATGAGTTCAATGAAGAAGGAAAAGAGAAAAGAAAGAAGAACTATTGTCGCCGTTAGTTCCCGAATCTTCAATCTTGACTTCCTCGAATCCCTCGTGTGTTTCGTGCTTTCTCTAGGCCTCCAATGGTGTCCAAAGTCCCAAAAACGAGTTCCTAAGGTCTGTTTTATACTGTAGGGCTATTCTGGGTCGAAAAAGGGAAGAAATCGCACAAGAATCCTATTCCCCGCAGGTCTGGTCTGCGCGTCACACGAGTCGTGTCACATGCCACACGACCCGTGTGAAAAAGCCGTAGCTGCGTTTCTTATTTTCTCAACCCACACGACCCGTGTCACTACCCACACGAGTCGTGTGACCTCTTCTGCACCCGTTTTCGCCGTTTTTCGTCCCGATTCCATCTCCAACGCATTTCCGGGCATATTTCCTGCAAAAACAACGACAAAAACACCTCTATCATAGTTTAATAAATAAAACGAATTGGTGCACAATCACACGATAACCAGGGCCAAATATCACAATATATCACTCATAATGCATGAAAATATGATGAATATCATTATGTTATTCAACCGACCCTATTAGATGCAGACGAGACTAGACGATCAAGACGATGGCGACTGGTATATCCCGACGAGGCGGAGCCAACCGCGAACCCGCGGTCGACGGTGCAAGTGACAGGCGCCGGTGGTGCTAAGGCACGCGCAGACGATGTCGAGGGTCACTAGCGACAGAAGCGGACGACGGCAACGGGCTACGCTCGTGCGAGTGCGGCAACTGAGTGAGTGCGTGTCATGGCAAACTTGTGACTTTTTTCGCAGTGGTTTACGCAAGGTGTTTGTCTAATTTTTGTGTCTTTATTTTATGTTTTTTTTTTCCCCCACTTGTAGGATTTTCGTTGCTCATTTTGTCCATTTCTTTCATTTTATGTTTTTACCTTTAGTTTATATTTTTTTGTCTTTTTGCCGTGTTTTGCTTCGTGTTTTTCCGTGTTGTGTTTTCAGGAGGTAGGTTGTGCCGGTCGAGGTTGGGATTGCTTGAGTCGAGACCGTGATATCGAGAATTCCTATGGCCGAGCCCAGAAAACGACGAAGAGGACTGAAGGACGGACTGAAAGTTGCTCCCAGCATATCTCGCGACTCGCGACAATGCCGCGACCCGCGAAAAAAAGAGAGCCTTAAGGTGCAGTACGCGAGCACGAGTCACGACTCGCGACATGCAGTCGTGACTCGCGAGATGAAGTCGCGACTCGCGAGTGATGTCGCGACCAAACCCCAAAAATTGAAGATCTTGACGACGCGTTACTCGCGACTCGCGACCTGAGAAAAGTGAAAGTCGCGACTCGCGACTTAGCGGCGCAAAAATCGAGAAGCGGGATTTTATAGCAGATTTTGGACCTAGGACTCATTATTTACTTCCAAACTTTGTTTTTAGGCTTTTTATCTCTAAAAACTCATTCCTGTTCATTATTTTTTCTCTTTTGTTTGGATTTGGAGATTAAAGAACTCTTTTTTCTTGCTTTTGGATTTGGATTGTTCATTGGATTCGACTCTTGGTTCTATATTAATCATAAGTTTTCCTTTTCAATTAATCCTTGAATATGAATGCTTGGGTTCTTGAGATGAATTGTGTTGAATTCCATATGAGTAGCTAAATCCATTCACTAGGGATAGGGGATGATTGATTAGGTTCGTTTATGATTGCATGCTTTTGATTGTTCATATCTATGCGAGTTGTGTGAATTATAGGTTAGTTGATTGATCACCATTCTAACCTAGTTAATCAATGTGCAGAACCGAGAGGGGAGACGTTAGTCGATTTAGGCTCGTTTAGAATAGACTTGTTCGGAAACGTATTGTCTATGTGTTTTTGGAATTGATAGTTGATCGTTTGCATTCACTCTCTTGTTACGAAGAGTTATTGAGAGTGAACCTTTGAACGAGAAATGATTCAAGTCCTTTAACCGAGCATTTGATTGTTGGTAATTGTGTTAGAACCGAAAGCAGTTATCCCCGATTCCCTAGCACTTTAATCATTAAGTGAATTTGTTTTCCATTTAAATTGCGTTTAATTTAGTTTAGAATCCTTAGTCGATAATTGAAAACCTCAAACTATTGAGTTAGAATGTTTAGGATCTTTGTCTTCTCTTTTTCGTGATTGAATAAACGCACAAGAATATCCGGCTAACCTTCCTTGCGATACGACCCGGGGAACGAATCTTTCGATTCCACTCCGGTAAAAATACTGACAACACGAGGTGCACGCGACTCAGGCCTGAGTGCTTGACGCACGCGGCGCTGGCTCAGCCGCGCATGCACCACCTTAACGAGGTGTCGAGACGCACAATAGCGGACACATTAGGCGACGGCAATGAGTTCAACTCATGCCTGCGTTGTCGAAGCGCCGTGCACGACACGGCTTTGGCGAGACGGTGACCGCAGCATGTGCCTGCGGTAAGTGGCAGACCGGTGACATGAACTTTTTTTGGCAAAGACTTCTCCGACGAACATGGCGGCTTAAATCAAGTTAAATGTTCCACAATGAAAATGGGAGTCACGGCGAAAATAAAATTCCATGTCCGAAAGGAAAGTGCAGTTCTACAATGATAATGATTGCTAGTTTTCAATTAAAATTGGAATCATAATTGTCACCCATGATAGTTGGACTTATTTTCTAGTTTACAATTGCATTTAATTTTGCATAAGCTAAAATTGATTTTTTGCTTATGTGCAAGAAAATTAATAGGAGCATGCTTAGGAAAATCTCTTAATTAAAATATTAAGTGTTTAATAGAATTAAATAAATTTAAAAATTTCACGGCTTCATTACTGGTTTGTTGGTGAAGTAATTAAGCTTTCACAATAGCATTAGAGTCTTTCTCCCTATCGGATGAGTTTTAATTACAGTTCACCAGAACAAACTTCCTTTGGGATGGTATTAGAAAGCTATTTCAAAAGCGTACGGTCGTCCCCATTGGTGGATGTATAATTTTGGTAGTGGACTCGGTGCCAAGTAATGGGTCACACTTAGAGTACTTTTACTTGTAGTCTCCCCATCGGAATCGCCACTTTTGTTTGTGCGGGACAAAAATGGACTGACTATTAATTATGTGTTGAGAAACTAAAAAAGTCTCATGTGACGGTATGAACCCTAGATGTCCACACTATCGTGGCCTGTAGTGATTCGGTGTAATGAGGTGTTGGTGAGTTTAATAAAATATTCTTGTTAAGAGATCAATATTTGTGAATTAAATTCAAAGACTTCACTAATTAAAACTTAGTTTGAATGATCTCTATAATTCTAAATGTCTTTCTGTCTGTTGTTCGTTATTCTCGAAGATAGATTACTTATTCAAACTTGATTAAAAACAGAACTTGGATAGTGTCCTAAATTGCTGAGGAATACGAGCTGAAGGGCAAGTGTATCCGGTTTAATAAAAATGGACATAAGAAGATGGATTGTCCTATCCTTAAGACAAGAAAGGTAAACCTTATTCACTAGGAAGTCGAAACATTTTAAGTGGTGTTATATATAAGTACCTGATAAATAGATACGTAACCACTAATTATGTAAAAGGTTCTAGAAAACCAATTGACATGTGATAGGTAATTGCCATCTAGAATGTGTTTGCTACGAAAGTGGTGACTATTGAAGTGGGAGTTGTCTATTAAATAGAAGTTTATTTTTGAGAAATTGTCTTTACGTACCATGTTTAAAAAGAATTTGATTTCAGTTTCTAAAGTGCCTATGTATGTTACATTTTGTTTGATGGCAAGTTTGCTGTTTTGAAAATGAAATGTTTTATCCATTTGGTACGTGGGTAGACAATTTGTAAACTTAACGAACCAAAATATCTCACAGTGCAATGGATAAAATAAGTAACACGTCACTAAAGCAATAAGAAGAAAGATCCTTCAATAAATGAATCATACATTATTTTGGCATCTAATGTTTGAATTTTTTAGCGTTAGTAAAATTCAAAGGTACATAGTAATAGAACTCATGGGTTCTTTGGGAATGATTTAAACTATCAGACCTACAAATTATTCTTAGTGGCTAAAATGACCAGAATAGCCTTCTAAACAGGCATATGTATTTAACACTTATTTGATTTACCAAGGGTGATACCTATTCTGTTATGTTGACATACTCGGTATTTTGGTAAGTAATGTTGTTTACATGATGTGCCGTTAAGATTGTTTACGGTCACCGTGTCCCAGTCTGCCGAGTTGATGACATCCCCATAATTAGCTCAAGAAGGATTATTATGTTAAACCTGACCGGTGGATTAATTTTCGACACAATAATTAAGAAATGAGTGGTAACGACACAATAATTAAGAATTGAGTGGTACTATTTTAGAAGTCAAGAAATTGATTAATTGTATTTTCAGTAATTAAATTAATCAATGAATGTTATATCTTAAACATGTGGAGGTAAATCGAGCAATTAGTCGGGAGACAAATTAATTGTAACTCGGAGCTAAATGAGGAGTGCAATAATATTACTATAGTGAAATATTTTATTATTTAATTAAATAAGAAATAGGTGTAGACATAAGCTCTCTCCATAGGAAATCTACAATGTCTAGAGTCGGCAAATTTATTAAACCGTGAGTCTTCTACTTTTACCTACTATAGATCCGTTGCGCATAGGTATTTTTGTGTTAAATTTATAACTTTTACATTAGCGACGATCCTTATAGATCCCAACATATGTATTTGCTTTATATATACACACACACAAAAAGAAAAAAAAAATCAGTCTATATTTTTATTGCTCTATATTTTTAATTAGTGAATCGAAATATTTTCATAAATTTGTTCATCACAACTTATTATATTAAAAAATGTTCTTATGAAAAAAACATATTTTTCTATGTTGAAGAATCTGCATTATATTACTTGATATTTTTTTTAGAACTACATTTGTTCATCAATTATATTTTATCTATTTTGTTTTTGTTCTTCCGGAGTTGGTAATATCATTATAAGATTATGATATATTATCGTTGAGGCTTGACATTTCGACACAGACATTGTATTAAGCACGCGGTCAGAAGATGAGTATCTACTATAAGTATGTTCGAGACCTTCCAAGTCGCGACCTTCTCGCACCCCTCAATCAAGAGGACTGAGTACACGAATGATTAACTAAGTTAGTATGCAAGGTACACTCAAGTAAAACTTTGTTACAATACAATAGTTGCAAACTTCTAGATTTTTTGCTCGACAATTGGTTTTGGAATCAGTTCTCATGTGCTTTTTGTGATCCTTTTTGTTATCACCATTTTAGATATACAATCAATCAATCTATCCCGCAGTTTAATTTTCAAAGATGTGATGACAAACTATCAACCTCTCTTAAAATTTAATTCTTATTATTTACTTTTAAATATTCAATTTTTTATATTACCTTGCATTCTANGACATATTTCTCAACAAAATGTACATCGAGAGAAACTTGCCCTAATACAAATACCACCCTAAGGTAAGAGAACCCACAAAAAGGTTAGTAGCACCTTCCCCGGCTATCCAGAACTTCGAATATGGAAAGTTCACATTCTAGAATCTTTTTTAATTCCTTAATATTTCAGAATTTTAGAATCTGGGAAGTTCACATTCTAGAATCTTTTTTAATTCGTTAATATTTCAGAATTTTTCTCCTCGACAAACTTCCCAATGTATGCATATAGGATACAAGCAATTACTATATATCAAGTACTCGCGTATTTCTTAACTAAAATAATTTTAAAATCCGAATTGAGCCCAACTGTGTGCACAACCGAGAACAAACTAGTATTATCATATGACAAAGCATAGTGAAAATCAAATTATTATCTAAACAAACTAAAGAGAGCTAGCTGCCAACTTTTTACATCATTCATCTCATGAGTTTAAAAAACACCCGAAAGCTGGATTTATGATCATAAAAAAAAAATAAAAAAAAATAAAAAAAAAATAAAAATAAGGATGTACAAAGAAAACCCATGCAAGCTAAAGAAACCCTAAACTCTCTTAACTTTCTATGTCCACAGCCCCTTTTCAACAGTAAAACATAACTCTCTTTACATTCTCTTTAAGGGCCGGCAAAGGCCTCACACCACACGACTCACCAGCTGCTCGTGCGTTGACCTTACCACTTTGACTACTGCCATTTTCAGTCGTGTCAGGTTCCATGTAAAATCTTGCCCGAAAAGCAGCCAAATGCGCGTAATAAGCCGGGGGAACTGTGCCAGAAAAAAAAAAGATCAAATGCAGTAATTTCAGCATTTACTTAAAAAGAGTTGGATTAATATGAGTACCAAATTTAATTAGCTGTTGCAATAATTATCGACTTACCCACTGAGACAGAACGCGTGCACCTTGCATATGTATAACAGAGATTGTTTGTTAGAGATTGAATTCCATCGGCAGTAAAATTGTTCTCGTCCCATAGGACATGGTAATGAGCAGGTCGGCTTGTTCCCTAGAATTTAAAAAAAATAAATAAAAAAATGTACAATACGATCAACTTCAAAATACATACTAATTAGCTGGTGGTCTAATCCTAAACTGATAAGCAGTAGTAGTAAATTGAATTTCCTCTCTATTATGCTGAAAAAAGAAAAAAAAAATGTTGTACCTGAATTCCGGCATGGCTACAGAGATAAAAGTCAAATTCTGTTGGGTGACAGATTTTCGAATCAACCACTGTGCCTGCAGAAGAGAAGGAATATTACTGGCCTGACACCCACATATGCAAATTGCTATAAACAGATTGCAAAGTCTGAAAATATTTATAAGCTAAAATATTTTTTACCAGGCAAAATGTTTCCACTTTTGTCTGTGCTGCTCTTGTCCCTGTGATTATTNTATGATCAAAAAAAAAAAAAACCTGTAAAATATTATCCTCTGTGGCTTTTGCCCGGTTGCTTTCCTGAAAGAAACCAAAAGATCCCTGCCAAACACGAAATAGACCAATTTTTAATCAAACTAGCATATACAAATGCATATATATCTATATCTATCTATACTATTATAAAAAAACCCTTACTTTGATATAACATAATATGTAAAATTACATGAAACAAATAACATGACATATAAAAACTACGTACTCAAATGCATTTATTAAAAAAATAGAGTATCAAGTAGGACATATGAGAAAACAAAAAAAAAGGAATAAAGAAAAATATGTTATATAACATGAAAGAAAGCTAAAAATATATTTTGCACGTGAACTTATTTACATAATATTCAATATTAAATTATAAAAATATATAATTAATTTATTTTTATTCATATGTATATTTAATTTCTAGAATTAAAAGATTTAAACACGGTAATAAGTTGATTAAAACAAATAAAAATGTTACCTAATATCAAATTGTATTTATTATGCTATGAATTTATAAATTATGTACTACATAGTTTAGTGAAAAGGTGCATTTCACTAAAGTAAAGTTTAACAACTATTTTCAATAATATTTTTTATCGAAAAATTCAATTTTGAAAAGTAACAAATACTTATAAACTAAAATATAATGATAAAAAATACTCTATAGTTGAAAAATGGATAACATGTAAAAAATTATATGCGAAGACTTATTGCTAAATAGATGATGTTGATTGTTTAAGATATCTTTTATTTAGGTTACATTTATAATAGTAAAAATATAATTACAACAATTAGTAAAAGAGATAAAAGTATAATTTATTGGATATAAAATTTTTTATTTTGTTTGGACTTTCTTGGTTTGATTTGGTTAATTTTGAAAAAGGTGATATAGTTAGTTAGTAGGTATATTAAAATAATATTTAAAGTAAAATAATTAAAATTGATTTGATGTAAAAGTAAAAGAGAGAAGATGTGAAGTGATGGTTAACTAAAAGTAATTGAAAATATTTGTCAAATAAACTATAAAGTAAGTCAACTTTAAATAGGGAATTTTTTTTTTCTTTAATTACAAAATATCGCATTTGATACATGTTTCTACCATGATGAATTACATAAAATATATTGAAATGTTTTTACAGAGTTAATATAAAGATATAAATACTTTTTAATATGTAAATAGCTTACAATCTCTGAAATATTATTTCAAGTACACAAATTATTTTTTATTTGTAAATATCATAAAACAACTCTTTTGATTTTTTTTGTTAATCACTCATGAAACGAATACATGATTGCACCATAAACTGAATATTGGGATTTTTTATGTATTGAAATATAATCTAAATAAAAACTAAAATGATATTTAATAACAATTTTTACATATTTAGTGATTTATAATATTTGTATTTGTTAATTTTATATGATTTCTTTAAATTTCGAAACTTCATAATTCTCAATAATGGGATTTGATGTATTAATATAAGATTATCATTTTTGAATTTTTAAGAATATGCGGTATCAATAGTTTATTTAAGGCATAATGGCGGAAAAATACACGACCTTTACTTGATTGGCCATTTAATCACGACTTTCAAACCTTGGCAAATAAATACATGACCTTTACATTCTTGACAACTTGATACACGAATTTAACGTCCGTCAGCAGAAAGCTGAAGTGGCAATTTTTTTTTAACGGAACGTCACCTAGAAGTCTGACTCAGCAAACTGAAGCCAAATCATCATTGGCAGTTTAATACACCACCTTTAGTTTTTTTGCAATCTGATACACGAACTTAACCTTTTTTTGGCAAAAAGCTGCCACATCAGCATTTTATTTTATTTTTTTTTAAATTCATTAAATTTACTTTATTTAAATACATAGTGATTACAAATAAAAAATATATTATTTTATTTAATTTTTAATTTATATATTTTATTTGATTCTACTTTATTAATTTTTAATATTTAATGTATTCAGTATTTAATTAATAAAATAATTTAATATTAATATAGTAAATAATGAATAATAAATAATAAAACATGTAATATAGAATTCAATAAATCATAAAATTAAAATCTACTATACTTATTTATTTAGATAAATAATATTACATTATTTATATTATATGTATTTAATATATTTATTTATTAGTTTATTCGTATATTTTTTTATATAAGTATGTTAAATAATAATAAAAGTAAACTTCAGAAAATTAAATAAATAAATAATAATATTATATTTATATTATAAATATTTATTTAATGCTTAAATAAAATTTGTTTGAAACTTTGGCCGTTAAAAAAAATTGTCACGTCAGCTTTCCGTTGACGGATGTTAAATCCGTGTATCGAGTGGCCAAGAATGTAAAGGTCATGTATTTATTTGCCAGGGTCTAAAGGTCGTGATGAAATGGTCAATCAAGTAAAGGTCGTGTATTTTCCCGCCATTATGTATTTATTTAAAAGACACTTTATTTAATCCTTGTACTATCATATATTGAAGATGGAATAATTATATAAATACATAATTGTTTCAAACTCATATGGCGTTATATAACATTTTTGTTAATTATTGCATTTATTTTTTATGTTGAGTCTACAACTAAATACATAATACATAAAAGAGCGAAGATTCACTCAAAATTTTTGTGACTTTTTTAATTGTGCAATTGCTAATTTGATCTTAGATAAACTGAGGAATCATACATAACCCTCGTGCGGATATGAACTTTCATTTATCTAGAATTTTTTCGTGCTATGATTTATAATTATTTTTTAAAATATGGGTTACAATATGTATTAATTAGTATTCTTGAAAAATAATAGCAATCACTTAACATTCCAATACAATCATTAATTTTAATTTTCATTAATACATAAAAGATTTTTTTTTTTAAATAAGTATCATTTAAAAAAACTATAATTCTGTTTTTTTCTTTATTTAAGCAAAAACTATTGATCGTGTATGAAAGTTCTTTTTTAAAATGGATTACATTTTATATTATTAATTAATTATATTATCGTTTTTAAATTTGTAAGAATACACGATATCAATAATTTATTTAAAATACACTTGAATTAATATTTGTACTATCATATATTGACAACTGAAATAATTCTATGCAATTACATAATTGTTTCAAACTCAAACATTGTATAATGTTTTGTTAATTACTTCATTTATTTTATATGTTGAGTCTACAACTAATATACGTAAAAGAGCGAATATTCACACAGAATTTCCGTAACATCATTTAATGATTGTGCAAATCTAATCGTTAGTTTGTGTCAAATAAACTATGGAATCATACATGGCCCTCGTGGGGGTATGAACTTTCATTTATCTAGAATTGTTTCTTGATATCATTTGTAATTATTCTATTTTACTTATAGTGTATCTTAAAGTAAAAGTTATTTCTAAAACATTTTGAAATTCTTAAACTATTTAAGGTCACCAAAAAAACTTAATATTAATTATATGGATTACAATATGTATTGATTAGTATTCTTGAAAAATAATAGCAATCACATAATAGTCCAAAAAATCATTCATTTTAAGTTTCATTAATGTATATTAGATTTTTTTTAAAATAAGTACGTTTAAAAAAATTATAGTTCTATTTTTTTTTTCTTTATTTAAGGAAAAACTATTAACCTTGTAGTTGTTATGAATTTTTTTTTTGAATGGCGTGCTTAAGATATCATTTGTGTTTGGTGTGTTTTAATAATAAAATTATTAGTACAATTAAATATTTGAATGGAACAGTTTTAAGTGCGATTGCACGGAGGAAAATGCCCTTGTGTTTCTATTATTTTTAATGGTAAAATTGGAATAATCATTAAGTATCTCATTTATAATCACAATTAAGTATCAATAAAATAGTATTCTGACAAAAACAAAACTCTTTCAATAATAACAACTAAACAAAATAGGTTTAAATAGGCAAACAAAATATTAACTTATCAATAAAAAAATTATTACTAATTTAAAATTTTCTATTTATTTATTTATTAAAAATCACAAAGATAGACTGACGAGGGGCGGATGGAAAAAAAAAAGAATGGAATACCCGTATTCCGCACCCAACGAACGAAGCGAAACGAAGTAAAGTAATAGAAGAATCCCTTAACGACTTTATATAGATGAGCCCGTTGTTCTGGATCCTGTGCTTACTCATAACTATGCTTTTGGAAATGGAACCTGCCCTTCGTCCCTTGATTTCAAGCGTAAGTGAACTCAATCCAACTGTAGGGTTCCCTCTCCTTTTAGTCAATTTATTTATTAAAAAATAATTAATTCAATATTTATAATGTTATTTATATTTAAATTACATTAAAATAAAGTAATATTGAATAATAGATAAATTATATAAAATAAAATAATTAATTATAAAATAACTTTTAACCAAAAGACGTGATTTGTATGTGAAACTAATAAAGGTCGTGTAATAATGTAAAAATGAGTTAACAAGATTACTATAGAAACTTTAACATGTTTTTCTATTTTTAACATTTTTTCATATTTATTATAAAATATAGTATAATATTAAAATATTGTTAGGAAGGTCTAACGATTAAACATTCATACATTTCCAAAAAATATACTACACTCAAATTGAATTATCATATTTTAAAAGCCAACATAAATAAAAATTTAATGATTTATTGCATACGTATATAATTTTATTAAGAAAAAGTACGAAGGATCAACCCGCCTAATAGCTATTCCGTCTCATATAAGAATTTATGTGAACTAAAATTTCAACTTAATAAGTATTTAATCAATAAATTTTATGATAAATTATCAAGTAAATGACATTACATCTAACCTAAGATATCATATGATATATAAATACAACCTGAATGAATAAAAAATTATATTTGGTACGTTATACGAAAATTTTTTCATGTTTTGTGTATATATATATTTAATTTGACAAAGTTTATAATATTATGGTTCATCTACATCACGTATTTGAGGAAATTTTAAGGTTTTTTATTTATGAACTTATGATTATATATTTTATGTGGTTTACTACACATTAACTGCTTGATATTTACACAACTTATTCAATCGTAATTATTTTAGCATTAAATGTGACCTGAAAGCCAAAACTATTGCTAATTATATATAATATGAATATTTAATTTAAATCAATTTATTTCTTAAGCAAAAATAAAATATAATTTACCAAATAATTGTTTTTAATTTTTTGAATTATCTCTTAAAATTATTTAAATCTAAATTAAATTGTGTACCATATGTTTGTAATGGTTCATGAAAAATATAATTGTATTTGAATGAAAAAAATTTAAAAGTTCGACCAAAAATTGAATCTTAATATATATTTATAATTCATGAATATAATTATTTTTAATCAGATCAAATGAAAAAAAAAATAATACGGAAACTATTTTACTGAAAAAAAAGGAAGATAAAATGAATAATATTTAAAAACTTTGCTGACATACGTCAATTGAATTATGACTGTTTTATTTAGTCAATAAAAATAATGACAAAGAATGATCCCCTTCAACAAAATAAAAAAAAAAAATTGTAAACTATCACATGCAATTATTCATGTAAAATATTTTAATTTAGTTTTACTGTTCATATTTGTCAATCTTCCCCAAACAAAAAAGATTTCGAATAAACAAAACTAACTTAGATAATGGAGGTTTAACCAAAATTTTCATGCAATGTTTTTAACCATTACTTTTAAATATTATTATTTTCAAAATTGTATTTCAACTTTCAATATATTTGACACTGTCCATTATGTTAATGTACTTCTTGTGTTTGGTTAATTGAAAATAGTAATGCAAAAAATAGAATAGATCATAAAAATATACAAGAGAAAATATAATTTAAAATCACATTAAAATATAAATTATGTATCACTTTACTAGTTTTTTTAAATGCTCCTAATAAAATAATGTAAAACAACTTATGAATCTTTAGAAGAACAGCAATTTGTGGACCTGCCGTCTTTCTCCCAGAAAGAGATAATTTCAAAGAAGAGCATTTCACATTCCGATCTGTTGTAGGAACTTAGAATGCAACTGATAGGAACAGTTTTTTGTAGCTTTAATTCCCAAAGGGTTATGCTAATTCAAGTGACCCAACCAAGGAGCTCATTTATACTGTTAAATGTGTTGGTTGAACTAATTTATTATGAACTGCTCATTGACAGTAGATGAATTTGACAGAAAAAAAAGGTAGTAAACTCCTTCATGGATGTGAGGTCTAGGAGAAACCTGGGGAACTGTTCCAACGAATTAGGGAATTAAACAATTTATTAGTCATTATTTTCTCCAAGAATCTTGGAATATTTCTAAGTAGTTTGTGGAGTATTATGTATTTTTTTCCTTATGCTTCTTTTACCCCAAAGATTAGAACCTTATTAGATTGTTATGATCGTTGCCATCAAATTTGTTTTCGTTATTTGTTGAATCCACCAATTATAGAGTCATAATCAACTATATATAAGTACATACTGAAAGTCTTGATCGGTTAAAATCCCATGTAGTAACTACATAAGAAATTAACAAATATGAAGTACTTATTGTAAACAAGGAATCACAATAGCTAACAAGCAAACACACATCTATGGAGACCCGGCTTACTAGGAATCCCCCCTTATTGCCACAAATCAAAACACAAGCACAACTTACTAATAAAATAAAGCCCACTCATTGCACAACAAATTAGTAACTGCAAATAATTAAATTATGCGGCAACCCACACAAGATCAATCTCATTCAACCAATGGCAAGCCTCCCCTTGGCCCGGCCCAAACTTAAGAACCCGAAACGCCACATGATCCGCG